AAAAAACGCAAAACAGGCAGAAAATCGGGGAGCGCTGAAAAGCACCGCGTTCACCCGATTGTATTGTATTGTATTGTATTGTGATTTTTGATTTACGGGTATGTAAAACAAAATTACATTAATGGATGTGATTGGTAACTTTTACTATGAAATCCTCAGCACCCTGTTGGCAGGCCAGACACACTGGTTCTCACTACAAGAGGTTACAATCCCCCCTGCCAAATGCTAAGAACAACTGAAACATATATATACATATTTACATGAAAAATTGTCCAATTATGCGTAACTGTTTGTGCAGGAGTTTTACGACCGTGTGCGCTTACTGACGTCAACCAAACTTGCTAAGTCGAAAGTTGGCACCAAAGGCTGACAGGCACTACACCTTGCCAAAGATTGACTTCGAGGTAGTTGTGGCAAAGAGTAAACTCATTCTCCCATGTCCATAGACTCCACAACCGGATGTAGATTAAATTGTATTGTATTGTAAAACACAGAACAAGTAATACGCGCTGCTGTAAGTGTATGCAAAGATAGCCCACCAAGAGGACAAAACTCTTGGCTCCTGTGCGTGTGCTAAGTTTGTAAATACAATGATGTTCGTTTGTATCGATGTTTAACAACAAGACAATGCATCTCCCTGTTTTAAATAGATCATACCTGCCACAATTACAGTATAATGCGAAGTGTGTTATCTTCGATTTTACAAAATGCATCCTCTACCGTCCACATAATCTCAAATTCAGGCAAGTAGTTCATGATCCGGGAACATTCATATTCTATTTCAAGCCTCGACTTTATGCTTTGAATAAAAATTCCCAAAGGCTCACTCTAGCCTTTGTTTTGCCTTTTATTACGACGGCTGACATGAATGGCAACTTTAGCCATGCACGCTAAGAAGCAAAATATACCCTGTGCCTTGCTAGACATAAAGTGTTTTGAGCGATCCCCATTTTTTTAATGACTGGTGTCTCATAGCAATCTTTGAAGTTGGGTTATTAATCATTCGGCTAGAAGCATTAATGCCACAATACTTGATATCAAACATCTAACCCAACTGTGATCCCTCAAATTCCAAGTGAATGAAAGATCAGATTTGCTTAATGACCTCATGTTTGAATATCAGCGTCATCTGACTGGTTTGCATTCACTGATAGCTGTATTTCTTTCCATTGAATTCATCAGTCACCAGCAAGTGGGAGACACCTTAGACCGCGGGTAAGAACACAACTTAATAACATAGCCACCGATTTTAAAATTACCCACCTTATGCATTGTAGTGGAGATAAAGTTAAATCATGTGATCACCCCTTTACCATATTTCAATCTGATTCCTCTTCATGCGCTCACGCAATTTATTTGGACAAACAAGACCATTTTTCGAAATTCTGTAGCGTACAAGTAAATTATAACCCCAGACATTCGGCATTCTATTTACCAAACTCAAAAGTGCTAATCCAAAGTTTGACTGCTGATACCTATGTGGTCTGCCCTGGGCGTGAGACTAAATCCCTGCCTCTATGTGAGTTGTGTCTTGTTGACATGGGATGCAATTGCAAACTTACTTCCAAAGAGATATCACTTTATACCAGTTTGTCGCAATGCACAGGCAATGATACATTTCTGGTACATTATGTGGCTAATCTCCATTCCAAAAGAGCTATCTTTCAAAGCATCTCCACATTCTTCTACAGTTTCATATTTAAGACTGTTACAGAATCAATCGAGATAGTAAAGTTGCTGTGGGGGTGATACAATCAGGATGTTTATTTGTAGAAACATCGGATAATAATAATACATGTAGGGATAAAGACTTGGTTCCCAGGCGTTGGCTTAGCAGCCAGCTGTAAAGACACACAGCCAGTGGAACCTTAGTTCCCTCCTCCTCATTCTCACTTTAAGAGTCCTCCCTCTATTTATAAGTGAAACCACGTGATATCGTGACGTCACTACGACGCCTGGCATAAGTTAACGTGGTTGGTCAGAACTTAATAACATGCCAAATAAGGAGTGCTAGACAGTCGTGATGACATTTGACATGGTGCGCATGAAAGTGTGAAAATGGTCCAGGCTTAAACATTACAAAAGTTTTTTTGGGTGTCGTGTTATTGAAAAGACACGTATTAGATATTTATAGAGTGCGCCCTTTACAAACTTATATACTAGTAGTGGCAAATTTAGTTCATCAGAAAAATGCAGTTCAAAGCTATGATGTGAAAGAGGTTGATTACACTTCCCGTTCCCTTTGAAGTAAGTGTTGGTGATATCTTTCCATTTGGTAGGAATAGAATGGTAAATAACCTTGATACTGAGATGGAGAATACGCTCAGAATGAATTTTATCCGACATTTCAGCGGCCTCCAACCAATTTTTATTCGTTTCTGGGACCAAATCACATACTTTGGTTATTCCCGCGTCAACAAAGTATCTGAGCGCAAAAGACTCATTTCTTATGGGATGTATGATGAGTGGGTTGTTAAACAGTGGCTCATTAAGAATATCAGTTATGTTTTTATCATTGAATTTACGCACTTTATTTACAGATTTCCAACACTGGAGGAGTTCACAATAAAATAATGGCAATCTTTGTAAAGGTGCTTTGACAGTGGTGCATAGTAGTTGACTTGCATATTACATATTACTTGCTTGCATAAAAAAGTAGTCTGTGAGCGTAAAACAGGGGTGGTCATGGTTGTTATATTGATATCTTTGTATATAGGAAAGTCGCATGTATATAGGAAAGTCTGCGTGTTGAAAGATGTATAGTATTGTACACGTTTATCGTGATTCTTTATGTCTGCAATATTATATTTGTTTTAGTGTTGAATAAATAGTATTATTATAGATATTCCAGCTTTATTCCCCCAAACAGTCAGCTGAGGTAATCCCTCGCCGTACAGTTCGCCCGTTATCCTCTCTTTCTTCCTCTCTTACGAAAGGTTACCAACTCTCTATATTAAAAGTCAAGTCAGAGGCAGAGTAAACATGAAATCAGCCAATCGCATCATTCGTCACGTGATTAAACACAGTAAGTAAACAATCTATTTATACAATTCCTGAAATATATATTTACAATTGCTACGTTCACACGACGGCATTTTATCTGTGCCAAGTTTGGCTCCAATAAACCCTCATTTCAATCTCAGAGTTTCAATTATGGCGGAGACAAACATCGTTCGTAATTTCACGCAATATCCGGCTTGACGGAGAGATATATTATATTGCTTCTTACACATAAGTTCATTACAGATAGTCCAGCTTTATTCACACAGTCAGTCAAGCAGTCAGCCGTGGTAACCCCTCAATGCACCGTTCTCTCGTTCTCCTTCTTACAACGGTTACAAACTCTCTATATTGCTAGTAAAAGTCAACATACTAAGACGTGGAGGAGTAAACATGCAATTAGCCAATCGCTGCAGTCGTTGGCACGATCACGTGATTACAAGGAATGTGTCTCATGGTTAAAGCCTTGCAAAGTTGCCACTACTAAATAAATAAGTAAACAATCTATTTATCAAATTTACAGAAGAACTGATTCCCTCCTGGGAGGCGTGGAAGGAATACCATGGGTGGACATACACAGAACCAGAAGAACCATTCAGAAGGGACATCTGGGAACAAAATTTAAAATACATCAGAAAACATAATTTAGAGCAAAGTCTTGGAAAGCATACATACACGTTACAGATGAACAAATACGGTGCTATGGTAAGTGTTACAACAGAATTACTGTTATTATGCCAGCCCCGATGTATTTTTACTTTCACTTGACCAGATAAGGGTTAAAGTTGATTTTTATTGTACACTTGACCAGTGTTTGGAACAAGAGATTGAAATTAAGTTCGTTTTCAGAATAAAATGCCTGTCCCAATAAACTGAGAGCTATTTAAAATGTGCCCCCACAAGTTTTTAGAATTTAAAACTTTGTCTTTATTCATCTGTGCACAGGGACAGGCAATTTGTACATTTACCAGTCTACTCTCAGCTAAAATGTGCTTGTCCAAACATGCCATAATTTCATAATTGTCATACATTTTGATGTGTAAATTGCAAACGGTACTTAAAAATTGAGATTCAACCATTGGCTTAAATTACTGCGGACATAAAGAAATCTCATTTGGACCAGAACTTTTGTTCCACTGTGCCCCCATTCTAAATTGACGTTTTTGATTATACCCGATTCTGATAACAAAAAAAGTACATCAATTTGGAAAACGTCACTTTTCAAACATCCAGTTTAATATGAAGTGTTAAACTGGAATATATTGAATCAGGTTTTACATATTCTAACTTTGTCATGAAATCCAATATTAAAGTATTTTATTAGTCCCCGTTCGGACGAAGTCCGAAAACGAGAACTTATAATTCGGTGTCTGTCTGGAGTCGTATTTCAGAATCCTTTGGACCGATTCTGTTCATTCTTTGCATGTGCCTAGTACTTTATATGGGACATATGCACATGCAGTGGTTTAGCGATTCAGCCATCTTGTTTTTTGAAAATGTTGTAATTTGGACATGCTTTGTCAATTTTCATTCAAATTTGGCACATACTTTATACATGTTAGGATACATGTCCATGACAATTTGTTTCAAAATCGGATCAAGGATGGCCGATCGACGGCCATCTGACTTTTTGGCCTTGCTACATTTCCAAGATTTATGTACCATTTTCTTTCGTATTTGGCACATGCATCATACATGTCACTTTGTTTCATAGTCAGATCAAAAATGGCCGAATAACGGCGGTTTTTATTTTTGGTCATATTACTATATCTGTCACCTATGTATCATTTTCATTGATATTTAGCATGTCATAAATGGATACATGTACATATCAATTCAATTTGCAATTTGATCAAATACTGGCGGCCATCTTGTTTATTTAAAATGTGACAACTTGGACATGCTTTCACTTGTGATCTATGTTTTTCTTTGCTATGTCTTAAACCGGAGGGGTCGCCATGCAACGTGTGTTTGAATTTGATGTGAATAAACAATCTGTTGTATACGCCACTTGGAACTCAA